GCTGACCATAAGGTTTGCAGCCCGATTCGTAACCACTACGCTACCAGATAAATATATACAAATGAAGAATTGTATCCATTTTTCAGTTTAGCATTCTTATGAATTGTACTTAAATAACAAAGAATGGGAAAAGATATGATAAAGCCACAAATTCTTTGAATGAATTATTTCCCTTTTAGAGGCACTGATTTTGTCCAGAATGATTTTGCTATCAGAAATAGATACCAAAAGGCTCTCTGGAGCACACTTAGGGGTATTTGTAGTAAAGTGAGTCAGTATAAAATTGAACTGAACCAGTAAAAAGTGTTGAAAATGAAGGTACAGACAAAGTCAACAATATTCATCCTAAATATTAACAATTTTGGACACATTCCCCACCTTTTCGCCAGCAACAACACAGAGAGATTCAGTGTCTATACACTTCGAATTTCTTAGACATCTTTCCAAGAGTCGGTTCAACTTCACCAAGAGATCTGACTGCCTATGAAAATAGTAACGGACTAAGGTCATGAAATACAATACCAGGTATTAAAATAATAGCTCATTGGGGTTAGTTTCCCTCTAGCTAAAGCAGTTTAAGAAAATTATTGAAATACCTGCCAGGTTCAAAAGCTGGGGCAGCCATCTGTGATAATTCAAGGTTAAAAAAAAGAATACCTTCTGTTGCCCTATTGGGTTTTGGAGAAACAAGTTCACAGGAAACCTGTCCAAGAACTCTGCAAAATAAAGGGTGCAGCTTTGTTAAATAAACATATTTTCTACCCAATTAAAAAAGGAAATGAAATCTACAACAAACCAATTAAATTTCAATCTTCTCTGAGTAATAATGTGCTCAGCATAAAATATCATAAAAGGTAAAACTTTTATCTAGAAGTAAATGTATACAAAAATAAAACACATTGGTAGAAACAAAGAGATAACAATTAAAAAAAAATCTTATACTAGTTAGTATTCCATTGTTGTTGCTATTGTGAAGTGTTGTCAAGTTGGTTCTGACTCACAGCGGCCCTGTCTCTCAGTGTTTCCAAGGAGCAACTCATGAGTTTGAACCATTAACCTGTCAGTTATCAGTCCAATGTTTATCCTACAGCATCACAGCAAGACTCCATAGACTTAAAAAATCTTTTATAAAAACAATTGCCTCGTATTTCTCCTTTCTAATTTATTGATTGAAGAAAGCATAAAAACTTGAGATTCCTTAAAAGTATGGTTCAGTAACATTATTTTATGAAATACACTCATAACTTCCAAATGAACATAAAAACATAATTCTCATCTCATGCAACCGAGTGCCACCAAATTGATTCCAAGTCATAGTGGCCCTACAGAGCAGAAAGAACTGTTCCTTAGATTGTCCAAGACTGCAAATCTTTATGGAAACAGGCAGCTTCATCTTTCTCTGAGATAGCTGGTGGGTTACAACTGCCCACCTTGTAGTTAGCGCCTAACACATAACTCACTAGCCATCAGAGCTCCTTACAATGAGGAAAATGGGACCTACTTAAAGGTACAATGTTCAGAACCTCACACATTCTAAGAGAAATAGCTATTGCAGTGCCCCAAATTCAGGAAAATCACTACAGTTTTCCCATGTAATTTATAGAGGTCAGAAAGAATATGACACTCATGTGACAAAAACTAAATTTATGATTAAAAAAAAAATTATGGTGTTGATGGTGGTGTGCTGTGGAGTTGGTTCCGACTCATAGCAAACCTGTATATAGGCTGTAAATCTTTATGGGAGCAGAAAGTCTCATCTTTTTCCATTGGAGATTACACATATTCAAACTGCTGATCTTGAAACTCATAACTCTTATGCTATCAGGGCTCATAAAGTGACTATAAAACCTAAAAACCCTGCAGTTGAATAAAAACACTTATTTTTGGTACCTAAAAATGTACCAGATGCTCTGTAAACAACAAAGTTAAGGTTCTTTACAAATGCCCTCTACTGGAGTCTTGGTTTGGTACCTAACAATGTTTCAGATGCTCTGTAAACAATGAAGTCAAGGTTCTTTACAAATGCCTTCTACTAGAGACTTGATGTGGCACTGTAGGATAAGCAATGAACTGCTAACCACAGCCCTAGAGTTCAAACACACCAGCCCCTCAAAAACGCTAAACAAGGTCACTATGAATCAGAATTAACCCAGAAACAACACAGAGCTTACATCTAATTTGAATTCTTTGTTACCTTGTTTTTCCAAGTTCCACAATACAACAGCCATAATCTGTTCCAAACGAGATCTTGATATTCCTATAATCATAGGTCTGTCTGCCATCCAGCCGCTGAGAACATAACAGTCATTCATTAATTACTTCAACAAAAATTTACTCAGCAACAACTACATGCCAGTACCATGGACTGCTAGAAGAACAAATAAATCTGCATTAGAAGATACAGCCAGAATGCTCCTTAGAAGTTAGAAGGCCAGACTTCATCTCTCACACTTCAGACATGCTATCAGAAAGGCCCAGTCCCTAGAAAAGGACATCATGCTGGGTAAAGGTGGAGGGGCAGGGAAAAGAAGAAAGACTCCCTACGAGATGGGTAAGCACAGTGGCAGAAGCAATGGGCTCAAGCTTAACGACTGTGAGGACCTGACATTGTTTCGTTTTGTTGTGCCCAAGTTGGAACTGACTTGACTGCACCTAACAACATGTCTAAGCATTAGGATGGAAGTGGTTGTTGATGTGGTTGTGTGCCGTCCTGTAGGGTTTCCAAGGCTGTACATCTACGGAGAGGAGAGTCTCATCTTTCTCCCGCAGAGCGGCTGGTAGATTCGAACTGCTGACCTTGAGGTCAGCAGCCCAACTAGCAACCCATTGGAAACTAGGCGCCCAGGCACTAACAGTCGCTGGGGTGACAAGAGTCTTGCAAAGAAGAGGTCTGGGCAGAAAAACGTCTAGGGGCGAGAGTACGCACTGCTTATTCCCCTCTAGGGCTCGCGGGCAGGCGCCGGCGAGGTCTGAGCGCCCAGTCCGGAAGACAGAGGTCTGCCATACGACCAGGACGCACACGCAGCGCGCAGTTCCAAGGGTGCCTCTTACCTTCTTCTCTTCGATAGCTCGGAGCAGAAAGCGGCGCTCACAATTTGAGAGCGGTGTCTCCTTCATGCTGACGCGGCTTGTGGGGCCACACGGGCTCGAGTATCTGTGGAGTATGCGTTGTGACCAATTTCCATCCACACGAGCCCAGCTCTCCCTGCTGCGCGGGAAATTTGCGTCATCAAGACGCGGCGGCTAACTGTGGGAAAACAATATGTTGCTAATGCGCAGGCTCAAAGCAAGGTAGGGGCCGGTGTACTTCAGAGATTTGAAAGAGGTGTGATTCTGAACAGGAAGATCTTTCTACCTCTTTTCACTCTTTTTCTGGGGGAGGAAAGGAGCCTTAACAATAATAAGCAGCGTAGTACTATCAACTAATATTAGTATAACGCTCTCACAATTCGCCCTTTCTCAGGTCTAGCGGGATAGGCTAAATAATTGCAATTTAATTTGCCAACTCCAAAACTGAAGAAGCAGAGCTTGCAGCTAGATTCACTAAGAGATACTAGAATAAATGGAAATGGGTGTGGGATGGGAAGAAGAAAGTTGAAGTGAGCTCGGTGTATTTGTGGACTGAAAGTGAAACCTCGTAAAATTGAAGAGTTGACCTGAGTTGAGAACATGCCCACTTTGTACCTAATGGTGTTACAACTAATGGTTAAAATGAAATCTCCTGTTTATTATTGTCTCAAATTATTTTAAACCAATAGGATTACAATATTTAGGGGGAATTGAGAACTTAGTGATCTTAGTCGTGAACCACCACTTTTGGGTTTTTTTGGGGGGAGGCGGTTGTGGGGTTTTGTTTGTTTGTTTTTGAGGGAACAATTAAAAATAGGAACTCCAAACTACCTGAGCTAAAATTCTGACTCTGCCATTGACTAGTTCTATGACATTGAGCAAGTTGCTTATGTGCCTCACTTTACTCATTAGCAAATTAGGGGTAATAAACCTATTAATTGTGAGGGATAACAACGTTAGAGAAGGTAGGTTATGATGGTAACTGCTGTAGAGTTCCTTCCGACTTGTAGG